GAATTCACGGTGTTGTGGCTGGCTGGCTTGGGGGCCGGGGTTCAGTCTGGGGAGCTTCTTGCTAGAGGTTGTAGCTAATAAACACAACTGAACTGATTTTGCATTGTCTTTTGGAGTTTTTTGGGCTAAACCTGACAGAAACTGACAATAGATTCATACAGCGGGGCCTTCTGTTGAGGGTGAGAGGGGCAAATGATGTGACTTTCAGATGTCATGGTACAAGTAGCACTAATGTATAGTTGCATTATTTGCGCAACGATATCATGATTTATGTGTCATTTTGACACTGTGGCTTTTTATAGATGCTTATGAATAGTAGGTTGCTTTACAAAAAGAGTTAGGGCTACAGAGTGCTTTAAAAGAAGTTGAATGCTCCTCTAAGGCAATTGAGATTCTTCAACATCATTAAGAAAAATAAATCCAGCAGTGTAAATTTAGGCAACTTGTGTCCAGCTAATAATGTGGATAGATTTTACTTCTGCTACTCATAGGAGTAGTTGAAATAATTATGGAGGCCATTTGTGCTCAGTTTTTATTTTGGTTCAAGATTTCACCAGGCATTGCCTCCAACCACCCCCACCTTCCCCACCTTGAGACCTAAAAACTTGTTTTGCTAAAAATAAGAATCTCTCAGGATGCTGGTTTTTATGTCTGCTAGATTTTCTTGGGGACATCATATGTTTATTTATCTGTGATTTATCTCAGCCCAACAATATTTACATGTAGTCATCTAACACTGCAAATCTAGTTTCAGCCACATGTGAAAGTAATTGACAGCTTATTACCCTAATGCAGCCTTTCTCCGGGGGGGGGGTTCTGCGAGGGATTGTAATTGAAAAAAAAGTAAACATTTATTTAACTTCGTATGCCATGCAATGCAAGTGCTCACAATGGTGGGAATTTTTACACTCCACAATTCACCTGCTGGCCTACCACTATGCTGCTGTTGTAAATGTTGTAAAACATGGATTGTGTACTTTAGAAGTGAATTGTACAGGTAGTCCTCATTTAGCGACTGCCTCATTCACAGTTGAGATGATGATAAAAAAGTAACTTTATGATCTATCCTCACATTTATGATCTTTGCAGGTCTGTAAAGCAGAGGGAAGCTGAAGTAAGATCATAAGCACAGTCACGTTTTCATTTAGTGACCGCTTTGCTTAATGACAAAGTTGCTGGTTCCAATTGTCATCACTAAACAAGGACTACCTGTATTGTGAAGCTTTTTTTTTTTTTTTTTTTTTGTGATTTCTATGCAGGGGTTTCCTGAGACCTGAAAATTATTTCAGAAGTTCCTCCAGGGTTGAGAAAGGGTGCCACTCCATCATATTTCTAAGAAACAGCCACTAGAGGGAGATAGATGCATATGATCTATAATGAAAATAACAATGAAAATGTTTTTAAGAAAAAGCCAGTAGGATTATTGCTACACTGTGCATGCAAAACAAATTAGACTCAGAGGTTCTTCTGGACTAATTTCATGAGACAGAATGAAAAAGTGTATAAGAGCTCAAAGTAATTAATGATACATAGGTTGATTCCTGGCTTAATAAGATTTTATCCATGGGGTCACAAATATAAGCATATGTCCATAAAACCTGAAATGAAACATGTCCTGAAATATTGGAAAATAGAATTGTATGAATATAATCCCACTGTCAATCATTTCTTATTGTGTAATGAAATCTTGCTGCTTTAATTATTTTTTTTCTTCCAGCTTTAGGTACATAAATCCTCTTGCAATGCTCTTTGAGTTATAAAGCAAAATAGACGAGTTAGGGGAAGCCTGCATACTTCTCACCCCATTTAAAATTAGCTCTGCTATAGGTTACTTCGCTGGGAAGGCCTTAAAATGAAAGACTCAGCAATCTTTTGAGCTGCTGACCAACTGTCCCTTCCACAGGGATGCCTGGGAGGATTTTTTTCCCCCCTGGGCAAATATGGACCATTTTTGAACACATCTTCCTTTTGTTGGCTTTTCCTACCACACCAGATATGACTGAGCTCTTGAAGAGTTTATCTTGCTAACAGGCAGACGACAGGTGAATGGATGGACAGAGTCCTGAGCCCTTTAATATTATTTTTTGCTAACATTCCATGGAATTGAAAAGTATAAAAAAGAGGTAACCTCAGAGCTGCTTATTAAATCCTTTTTATTGTTAGTCAAAGCGTGTCTTATCACAGGCAATTCCACCAGCTTTTTTCAATGAATTAAGACAGAGGGGATGCTGGGGTTTTGTTTCCTTGGCCATCTTGCTTTGTTATAGGGTAGAATTCTGTGGATTATGCAGCCTGTTCTGACTCTGTTAAGCTGACTATTGTGTCGAGAAGTCCATCATTCCTATCTCTCTGGTACAATCTGTATAAGAATAGAACAGCCTACCTATGGAGGCTGTGGGTTCTCCATCTGTGAAGCTTTTAAGATTAGGCTGGACACCCACCTCTCATGGATTGGTTTTCCTGAATCATCATCATCATCATCATCATCATCATCATCATCATCATCATCATCATCATCATCTCATTATGGCATAAACTGGCAGTGGTAGTCCCAGTGGTTATCAGCACACTGGGTGCC